AATGATGCCTTATTGAGATGTAACTCGGCTCAAAACTTCAATGAATTCTACGAATAAATAGTTGTTTTTTTTTGAATAAGATAAAGAAAATATATATTGTATGTGTGTGAAATAACAGAATTACACGTACCGTTTTCCAGGCGTACGCGTGTTGTATAATTTGTTGGCGATATTATTCCAATATGCACCTCTTGAGATACGATTTCTGTAGTCATATAAAAACACAATGCGAAAAACGAAAATCTTTTCATCATTTCGATAAAACTAAGCACTTCTTAGTTTTGATGTAGCTTGAAGCGACTGAAAGCCTTGTAAGCCTTAAATTTCTCCTCGGAATACGGCTATGTTCTGTCGCTTTTTTTCTAGTACAAATATTTGCAGAAGCTGTTGTCAGTTTGGTGGTTTTCTGAATGGAGAACTTTATCCATGTGCTTTAAACTGTCGTGTTAATGTCGATCAATGTTAGTCTGATTGCGCAGGACTACAAAACCAAATAATAATCAGTGTAAATGACATTTTACTGGGCTATGAATCAGACATATTAGATAGAGCATTACATACTAAATAATTGGTCTTACCATGAAATTTTGTGGGAATATTAGGCACAAATTCTCTTTTCAATTGTAAGTGTTTTTATTTTAAAATTAATGGTATTGGGAACGCTTGTTGGCCGTGTGATGAACAAGAGAAAGATAAAGAGAGATGTCAGAAAATCAACGACTTGTCGACCAACATACATCCCATAATCTTTTGCGCACTTTTATCCGTTCCGACATACGGCAAATCGCCATCTTTAAGAATTTTGTTAAAAATTAAATCAATTTTAAATCATTAAAATTTCGAATGATCAGGTAATCTGTTATACAATTTTTTCACTGGTTGATTTTGGCCGGAGATTGTCATAGCATGTGTTTGTGCGATAGATTTGAACCAGTTAGAAATCAATTTGTAACAATGAGCTTCTTCAAAACATAGAAAACTATCGGAAATTGGATGCAATTGGTCTCCACTGTCCTCAATACACGGTATTCATAGTTTCCACAAATCAAACACGCGTCATTTACGCGGGCGGGATTGACCAATCAGAATAGAAATCACGTTATAGCAGCCATATGGCTGTCACACAAAGTTCTAACAAATAAAAACAAAGAATAGATCGGAAAAGTTGAGCACGGTTGAGATGGTTTTGAGGTGTTACTGGCATTTAATCTTTGCGTATTGTATATTTCTGGCCTTACTCTCAAATCTTAAAAAAACGGGGAGGGATTGTGGTYAGTATTACTTGACGTAACTGAATAGTGTGGGCATTACAGTGGACAACACTGCTTCAGCAGCCCCTTCTGTATAAAAGAACAACAGTCTAGTGTTTGAAACAATACCGACATTAATGTCACCTAAAACGATTATGATTCACATTCTCCATTTTTTAGCTGTATATTCTGAGGTAGCGACATATGGCAGGGGAGACTTCCGCCGGTATAGTATCTAGGACCTTGTGTATCTACGATATTAGTATTCTTCGTAGCATACCCATTGCCGGGTTTCCTGTCCCTCCCAAAAGAATAGGCTATTCCAAGGCAGGCTGCGGAGAAGAATACAACTGCAAGTTAACGTGAACGACGGACGTAAGCAACGGAAGTAAAACAGAGCGTTTGGAGAAAACTGTATATCTGAGTGTCATGTATAGTAAAACAATATTCTTAAAACAATTAAAATTTAAATAAAGAGCAATTGCTAGCACAATGACGTCTGCCATCCGGTCTCAGAATTTCGAAATGTTTTCAAAAACCAGTTTCCTGAGAGGCCGAAAATCAAGCGTTTATTTTAATTGTTTCCTGTTAAAATTTTAAAACCACAAGCTACTTGGTTACGAAACGACTATAAGCTTATTCGTTACCAATGAAGTAAAACCACAAGCTACTTGGTTAGGAAACGACTATAAGCTTATTCGTTACCAATGGAGTAAAACCACAAGCTCTGGGTTACGAAACGACAATAACCATGTTTGCTAAGCTAATAGACATTTTTACTATAAAATGTTTTGCAGTTGCAAAACTCAGACAGAGTTTGGGTTTT